TTACTATAAGGTGTAAATTTACTGACGTATGCAAATTATACACCTTTAATAGATGGTCCCAATATTACCAACTATAAGAACTGTAATCTTACATGTAATTTTTGTACAGTGTAAAAAAACGGAGATTTTTAGAGCACCAAAAAAATAAAATTTTTATAGTTACCTCTTTCGGGCACTGGCTCGCGCACACCCGTAAGGAGATGGAGTTCGCTCTGCTTCGAGAACGCGATGTCGGGTATTGCCGCGATGCAACGCAGGTTCAAACGTCCATTGACGTAATGGAACGGCTGAAGAGTGAGACTGATCTCGCTCCATTGCGTCGCCTCCTCGTCCTTCGTCCGCTGTTGCCTCGCGGTCGCCTGCACCTGTGACAAATCAAGCGTGAGCCTGTCGTCGAGGTGCACGTGAACGTGTGAACGTCGCGAGAAAAGGGATTCGCGAAGGGATTGCTAAATGGCACGCGGGAGGTAAGGGCCGAAGAGAGAGAGAGAGAGGAAATGTAAATCTGCTTTCAACGATATCTGTTCATCCGGAATCGGGAAGAGGTGAAGGATGCCCGCCTTGCTCCTTCCACCCCGCCTTTTCGTCATCCCGCGCGTTCAACGGCGTACCGCGCCGAGGACGAGGGTTTCCACTTGGATGGAAAGTTAGAGGACCCGCTAACGTTCCCGCCGCCGTGTTCTCCCGATTAATGTCCCTCCGCCCCTTTTTTTTCTCCTCTTCCTGCGTGAAATCGCTTCTCGTCAGGCCGCGGCGGCGAGGAGCGAGCCTGTCGAAAGTATTGGCCAGAATGGCCGAGTTCCGGAGCTTTCTTAATGGATCATTATTGTCCCGGAAGTCGTGATAGCGTCGAAAGTAAGTTATTCGAGTGAATCGCACGGTAGAATAATTTGTAAGTGAATCGTAAAAAGTTTGCCGGAACTTTCGTCGCCGTAGACGGCAAATCGATAAAACTGTAGACATATATCGTTTTCGACATTTTACGCGATGTCGACAGTTTCTTTGTACCCCATATTAATTGCAAAAAGAGACAGAGAAAGGAAAAAGTAAATGTCGCAGACACGTTAGTCACGATTTATAATACGATTCAGCAGACAGAAGCTAAAACACTTCCGATGAAACTAATTTACCCTCCCGTTTAATTACTTATCAAATTTATCAACTTACTTTCTATTCAAATGACAGTTAACTCGTAATAATCTTATGCTTAATAGTTTCTTAAGTGATAATAATCTCAGTAATAACATAATTCCCGATTCAAAGCGTTATGTGCGCACCTGATGCCAACATGTTTCTGGAAGATAGTTGTTACGAAGTTTAACGGCATTCGCGTCGAACCGACGGTAAATTACACAGAACATCTCATATTATATAGATTATTAAGCCAACGGATTGTACAATGTACTGTAAAATTTCGATCTCAAATACTGCGTTCAAAGTTATTTCGACAGAACTAAAACAATTTTTATGCTCCGAGTTTCCTATGTGGCGCGAGCTTATTAAAATGTACTCTAAGAAAATAAGAACACTCACAAGTGCAAAGACATAATTACGGGAGAAGCACAACAAGGTCCTTCCGGTTAATCTCTCGGAATAGCAATCAATACCATAATGAAACCAGATCGCAGAAGATAATCGTTAGAAGACTTCTAATCGCGGCTTCTAATCAAACGAAGACTAACAAAGTAAATTAATTAATCGAATGAACATGTAACGGAGTCACCGCAATGTACGAATGATATTACAAAATATAATAATCCATGATCTCCTTAAACTTGAAATTGGCTTAACTTTGCTAAAGACTTTTTCAACGGCAAACTGTACAAAAGAAAAGACTTTCCATTGTTCCATCATTATATCGTAAAGTTCATTTTTCAATTAAATATGCATAGAGTATATAATTTCTTATTGCAGTCCGTGTCAGATAATAATAATTTAATACAAATAGCTTAATAGTGAAAAGAAATGGATAAAAGTAAATGCGAATATCTGCGTACATGTACATTGCATCGTATGTGCATATGATGAATATATCGAGTTTAATGTTAGCCAGTACAAACAATATCGGTGAGAGCATGCGAGGAGCGCGTTTGCTGACTTCACATTTTCTCGACTGAGGAATTATGCAATTCGCACGATCCTGTGTGATATATGGCGGAACGCGCAAAAAAGAATCTCGACCAATGATTAATGGCCCAGTAGCATTGATACTTATCCCCCGACGTGCTAAGAGTGCGTCCAGCCGAATATAAATTCCGCTTTTTAAACAGCTACCCGTGAAATTCAATCTCGGAGGGAAGCGAGCGAAAGTGATTACAGCGGTTGAATACAGATTATGAGAAGGCGGTCGCTACGTCATATTTAAGCGTCCCGGATTTTCTTTGTAAGCGTCCAAAGGAAGGCTATATCTCTTTTCCCACCGGCACACTTTCGTGTCCCGCGCGATGGAAAAATTAAAAAAAATAAGAAAGAACGCGTTTGAGTATACCTAACGGATCGTGAAATTTTCTATTATGAGATTAAATGCGCCGGTCTTATCGAAGAAAAGATCCACTCTAATATTACGTCGCGTGGTGTAATCAAAGCTTTGACGCGACGCCATCTTTCCAATGTAATATCTAATAATATCCTCACGCGAGTTTGAAAGAAGATTCGACTGATCTTGCATAAGATTGCAAAACTGTAAAGCGGACGGCGTTTCAATTTGTTCTCAAATCAAACTGCATGATTCGACAAACGAACGGTTTGGTTTGTTGGATCTCGCAAAACTTTCTTTTCGATCTTTTAATTGCCTACTCTCGTCAAAAGTTTCGTGGATGCGCTTTTTTAAGCCACGTACCTTTTCATTTAAAGATTCCTTGGCGAATTTCAAGTTGATTCTTTAACACTCAGGATTTTTATTACCACTTTCTAAAAGAAACCTCTAATTCCCATGTAACTAACAATTAAAATTCTCAATATCTTAAACAATAAAAACTCTCTTTAAATTAAAATTGTATTAAAATAAGTTCATTTAATTATAATAAAATTAAACGGATATATTCAAACGTAATTATACACATTTGCAAAGTTCAACTATCAAATCTCTAGCTTTTAATTCTCTACAAGTCTGACATTAAAATAATTGATAATGTCGTTAGTTCGAATTTAAAGAAACTTTTCCTTATGTAGTTTCTTGCAAATCTACGATTTATAAATAGGCACATTCAACTATATGTTATAATAATTCCAAGATATATTTTGTGGCAATAAATTTGTTTAGGAAACATAAATAACGAAGCAGGCAAATTTGTTGCAAAGTATTACCTGGGCAGGTTTAATAGAAAACATAAATATACAAAAGTTATCTCACATATCAAGAATGCGGAGATAGAAACACTAACGATGTTTAACCGCATTCTCTGGAATTCCCGCATCTCTTCGCATGCTTAATCGCATTCTCTAGAATTCCCGCATTCCCGCAAAGCCTACACAGGTTAAGATAGATGTAACTAACACTACGTGTAATCTAAGTTAAGTAATCAAGCGAGAAGTTCAAGACTGAATTAAAGTAAATCCAGAATACTTTTGATAAGAAAAGTTTATACTGTTACGTAAACAATTAAGTGGAAATAAAGTATGCAAGTCATTTTTCTTTCAATTCTTTGAAAAAATAAAGTATGAGGGCCACTTGAGAAATTCTCGGAACGAACTACAAATGGCAATCAGCGTCATACGATCAAGTATATTACGAAGATTTTATTTAAGAACTTCTTTTACAATCACGGAGAGAATTTTCTTTTAAAATTTACTCTGAAAATAATCATGTAATCGTGGGACAACATGGCATTTTGAAGAAGTTTTTAAAATTTTACCATACATTTTACTAGTATAAATTATACTTATTTAAATTTTAAAAGAAAATTCTCTCCGTGTATCGGTACAAATATTTTTCGCTAAGATCTTTTCGATAAAATTTTTTTACAAAAACTTTAACAAAACTTGATCACACCACGCACGTTAAATGTATTAATTTTTTAAACAATCACGTAGATACGTTAGTTCAAAGAGTCTATAAAACATTAATTATTTGATGGGGAGAGAATTGGAGCACTTTACGCGTGTTCACAGAAGGGTTGGAACTTTCGTTGAGTATATGATGTCGGCTAAGCGAGTGTCATTTGTACTTCATTGCAAGAACTTTTCGATGTTCCTCGTATTTGAAGACATTTCCAATAAACTTTAAATTCCATCGCAGTATTTCTTGAGATCCTGTATCATGTAAAATGTTATGTTTGCGCTGCCTCTCGGATCATGAGCGGATTACGGCGAGGAAAAAATCTCAGCAAGATCTTATTCAAGCAAGATTTACTTAAAATTGACTAAGAAATATACTTATTTGTTTGTTTTCTTGAAGCTCAATTTTACATCGCGATCTTTTAATCTTTAATATTAATCTCTAAATTAGATCGTACTTTTTAATCTCAGAAGAGAAATTATTTCCACATTCATCGGATAGAGAGAGAAAGGGGGTGAGAGAGAGAAAATACTATTAGACCGTTGATTCAAAGCTTTTTTGCGGAACAGCTTGCATTTTCTAATTTCATTATTCGTCATCTGAAAATGGAATTCTTTCTTTCCATGCTATTCAAGGCGCAGATTACCAGAAATACAGCAGGAAACCCGCTGTGCACCAGGCCATTACAGAGCTCTGCACGGTGCGAACGCGAGCGAGATATGAAATCTCGCAGTAATGCACATTTAATTGCACGTGTAATACTTGTTGAATCGATGCGCGCATGTATCTGAAAACCAATATATTCGATTGATATCGCGAGCGTGGAATCCGATTGGTATCGACGAAATACGACCATCTCTATGGGGACCGGAGCAGCGCAAAAATAGATAAAAACATCTTCGACGCACGGGATAAATGAAATTTTTATAAAAAAAAATCATCCTAAGTGGATATATATTTTATCCGCTGCACGACGAGAGCCCGTTCTTATAGTATTCTCCTTTGCATTTTAATCGCGAATAAATCGCGATATACTTTACAAGATGTACGAGTAAATAGCGAAGAGGTAACTTTCCGCGGTAACTTCGTATCGAGAGGAGAGAAACGGGATACCAGGCGTGTCGATTAAATCCTCCGCGAATAATTTAATTAGAGAAAATGATGGGAGCATTTCAGGCGATGTCGATGTGCGGTCGTACAGAGAGAGCGACGCGGTTTTACCGTTCGGTGAACCGCGATGACGTAAGAGCATGCGTGTACTTATCGTAACCGGGTGTTATCGCCGTACACTCACGGTGTTGTGCTGGCGTGGCAGGCGGCTCACCCTAAAGCACCACCACCACCTCGCGCAACGCCCAGCAACAACAA